CCTGCGGGCTGTGCGGTTAGTCCGGGTGTAGAACGGTGCAGATAGGAAAGAAATGGTGTGAATCGGAGGAAAAGTACCGCTGCGCAGAGTCACTGAGGGAGGACTTGTCTGGAAAGCGTCAGGGGGTCTTCCTAGCTGTGCCATAACATTAGTGTGGCTCCTTTCCAAATTAATTACTGTTTTTCTAGACTAAATATACATATATTGTATACGTGACGTAGCAGACTGTCCCCCTGACAGCCGCTGAGGACACGGTGGGAGGGCTGAGGTGCCAGGCCCAGCAGGGCCCGCCGGCCCGAGGGGAGGAGGCCCCGGAGGGGGATTCACTCCTGTGTCTGTGGGAGGAAAGCGTGAACAGCTCCCGGGGAAAGGGCAGGGGGGGAGGGAAACCGGTGAAGGTTGGACAAGCTGGGCTTGTTTAGTCTGGAGATAGAATAGGAAAACAGAGGAAATAGCGTTTTGTTGACATAAATGAGGATTTTTCGTGTGTGTTCTTTGTGGGAGTTACGGGAAGAAACTGACTTTGAGGAACCAACCAGAGGTGAGACGGGCACCAGGCAGCCTTGTAAACTGGATTTAGCTTGTTATTAACAACTGTATTTGTCACATCCTGTCCTAGCTGGTTCTGAGCATCTCAGATACTCTTTTCTGTCTGTGGTTTGTCCTTCTGCCAGGGGTATCTGAGAAAAATCAGACATAAACATAACAAATAACGGAACATGTAATTAAATGGCTTGCACGTCTGAAAATCTTTTTGTAAATAACAGCATTTGTTAAGATTAAAGACGAATAAAAGAGCCCTAAGTAATACTTAACATGCTGGAGAGGTGACAGATTAAGTTGGTTTTTGAAACAGCTTTAACATGTCTAAGAGCCCCCTTGGGAACGAGGTGTTTCCATACACGTTGCCTGGGCCCCGTCCTGGCAAACCAGTGACATTTTCCACCTGCCATGGGGAGCATTTCCTGCTCCTCGGCTGGCGGGACCAGCAGCTGCCTGGCCAGGATGTCTGCGGTGACACCGGGGTGCTGCCCCAAAGAGCCTATGCACAAGTTCTCATGTTTATCTCTCTCATCACAGTGAGGTTCCGTGACACCTCATCCCTGCTGGCGGCCCCGCCGCGCTCCGCTCTGTGCGAGGACCTGCTCAGCCTGGTGGTGTTTGATGCGATAAAGCAGGATAGGCGGGGACCTGCCTTGGAGGCCTGTAGATAGAAGTCACTGGAAATTAGCGGGGTGGCCTCGGTCCCACCTCATCCCTCTGACAACTGGAGGAACCTTTTCCCTGGAAGCTCGCCCCGCAGGCTTGCCCCGGGGGCTCAGTCTGTCAGTCCAGCCCAGGCCTTTCCTAGACCAAACCAAGAGGGTTTTGTCCTAAATGTTCAGCCGAGGCGGGGGCAGCGCTCCGCTGGTGTCCTCCGTGTCCCGCCCCGCGGAGGGCGGAGCGGTGCTGGTGCCGGTAGCGCTGGGGGAGCGGGGCCGGTTGCCG